TTCGCGATTGTCTAATGAAAAATGGAAAACAAGAAACAAAATGTCCTCCTCGTCGCAGCAACTCCCGATAAGTTCCCAGTTTCCCCGTTTATCGCCCTTCTTTAGATAGGTGCTGTTCTTATTTCGTTCATTCAAAATATCCAGTTATATGGCTCATTTGACTTATGCTCATTTTGTAGAGACCGAGGTTAAAGACGAACGGGTAACGGATGCCAGTCAACTCACTCTAATAAGATGGTCGCTGTGTCCCGTTGGGACGCATGCTTATACTAGCCGGCATGCAGACGTGCGGACGAGTTGCCTAATAGCAAGGGGTCATCAGGCGCCATAGCTGGAAGATAGGCAAACCCGTTCGCTATCGCCCGAGTATGCCTCCGAATATACGCATTTGAGCTATCCATTTGACGCATCCGACGGGAAACAGAACAGGGCACAGTGACCACCCTGTAACCGCTGCCGCTGTAACCCACTACCCACACCCACACAGTGCGATTTAGTTTGTTCAGTGATGCAATACATGTATTTTACATTCTAGGAACAGACAGACGCGAGTAGGGGTCCTGATGGGTCGCTTGTAGAGGTGCCAAGACACCTTCTTAATTTGTGATAAAATATTTTTTGTATATTCGTTATTCCGGATTTCAAAAAGTGATTGGTGATGGGTTCATACTCGTCCATACTCAGGCTCAATTAATTAAGGCCAAGATCAGGCGTTCGAAAGTGCCCCAGTAATATCCTCGAGATCCCCTCTCTGACGCGTGGGCCAACACTTCCGCGAAACATCGTTCTGCTCCGCTCAGCAGCGCTTGTTTGGGCCATAGTCATCCCGACCGAAGCTGAGCCTTGCTGGGCGGCGAGAGACAAGCTAAAGGAGGGAGTGAGCTTTGGCTGGGCGTACTGTAGGGCGTGATCGTGATGGGTAGGGGGCGAGCGGCATGCGAGCCGCGGAGGAGTGTGTGTGTGTAGGCTTGCCGAAATGAATAGTCTCGACTCCCATGCCACTGGAGCATAGCGAAAGAGAGGATATGAGAAATTCGTCAGTTCTTGTAGGCTGCCATCGACTCTCTCAAGTATAACAATTATGCGTTTCGCCATTCCATGTTGCTTCACGAATCATTATTTAAAATTGTGTCGACGATAATTACATACATTGTCATCGACAGTGGACAGTCATTTCTGAGGTACCTTTTATCCATGGCAGTCCAGTCCACAGTCTTGACACATCTCTAATTGCGTTATATCTTAGCAGGAGGTAAACTAAAGTAGTTTAGTTCGGCTAAGGTACAAAGGAAGAAGAATAGAGGGTAGAACAAAAATGTTCCTGATCTGTCGAGAGTTCAGCCAAGTAAGCCAAAGTACACTATTTGAAATATTACCTTTCTGTGTTTTTGCGTTAAAGTAGTTGGGGTGTTAGGGTAGTTGAGGTGTTCAGGCAGTGATTGTTTTTGTTTCTAGATTGCGACAAAAATACTAGATTTGCTTCAACATATCATATAATTTATTTCATCACAAACACTCATTCAGTCGTTGCTCTGCCGCGTCCTCCTTGACTAGTGCGGCTGGAATTTGCGCCCGAGGACGTCGTCGAGGTCCTGGACACATCTAGTGGTGGTAGCCGTGGCCGGACAGGGTGACCTGCGCGTTGAAGCCGTTGTGCTTGTCGGCGGTGTAGTGCACGGTGCGGGTGATGCCGTCGGGCTGGAGGACGGAGTACTCGCCCTTGACCACGTCGCCGTGGCTGGACTCGGAGGCGCTCTTGACGTCACCGGTGTGGGCGTCGTGCACGCCGTACTTGAAAGCGTAGGGAGAGGGGGGTCCCTATGGTGCGCGCGAAAGAGAGAAAGAAGGGCGATTAGTATGCGTGTGCAGCAGTGTGCACCAGTTGGCCAACCGGCTACTGAAACAGCAGGTTGGGCTAGAGCGGAGGAAAGAAAAAAAACTATCGTGCGAAAACGTCGAGAGGCCAGGACGAGTTTCTCATGGATGAAATGAGCCGTCGGCGCGGTGCCTTACGTGGTGCTCGTCGTGGACGGCGTGGACGATGGGGGCGGCGTGGACGATGGGCGCCGCGTGGAGGATGGGGGCGGCGTGGTGGTGGGCCACGGGGCTGTGCGAGATCTCGATGTAGCTGTTGCTGTGCCCGCCGGCGAGCGCGCACGCCGCCACGGCGGCCACCAGCGCGACGGAGAGGACGACCTGGGGTAAATTAAGATATTAATAAACCACGAGGCACTTTTTTGTGACAGCCGTGTCTTTTTCACACTTTCGTAGGTTTACATTTTCTGCGAAGTCACTCAACTGTGTCGTTTGCTAGAGATTCTAAAGTCCGCAAAATCTGAGGCAATTATTGGAATCTTTTCCCGAACAAATTGAAAATATTTGGAATATTTCTAGAAACATTTGGCAAATTAATGTAAATGAAATATTATTTTTTTTCCATGACTGTTTTTCTGACAAATTCAAATCACTACTCTTGACACCGTCACGTAACCCCGCCTCATTCAGCCAACGAGAGAAACACCCTATAGCACGTGGGGTGGAACCACGTGGGCCAGTATGCGCTATTCCGAGGGCGGCTGCTGTACCTTGGCGGACATGCTGGGGCTGCTGGCGGGTGCTTGAGAGGACGAAGGAGCCGTGTCTGCCTCTCTGCTGGCCAACGTTTCTCGTTTTATACGTCGAACGGCGGTCCGGGCCGGGCCTGGGCGGCAGGGCAGGGCCCACCCCCAACCGCACTCATTGAGCCACCTCGCGGGCGCGGCGGGGCGGGTGGGGGCGCAGCACCGGCATGGGACCCATTCCTGGTGTAGTGGGGAGAGCCCTACCCGACGTAGTACCCGGCGGCCCTCCTCCTGCTGCCCCCGCCACCGTGCTGCCTGCTGGCCAGTGGGACATAAAATCGAGAAGGTTGTAAGCCGAAAAACAAAACAAAGACAAAAAAATAACCCAAAAGAAAACAAGCAAAGATAGTCAGTCGGTCCTCTTTGCACCGTACCACTCCCCAAAATTTTAAAATCCAAAAATTATGCATGCCGGACGCAACTAACCTGCAGCGGGTGTGTTTTGTGTGTTCCGCGCAAGTCTTTCGCACGCTGGGATGCGCTATCTTCCATCTCACAACTACTTGAGTGTGTGCAGCAAACGTTGACAAGGAGGTGCTGGTCCGGCTGCAGCTGCACTGCTCGCGTTATCAGGACACTTGTAATTTATAATTTTCGCGTCCTTCTCAATAAACACATAAAAACTCACTTTGAAGTCATTTCGATTAATTTGCAGCTTGTCATAGTGCTCTTTCATACTCATTCTGACAAACTTTTAGCCGCTAGGTGATTTTATTTGGACAGTTTATCAAAATGTATGAAGAAAGTAAAAGTCGGTCACCCGCTGTCTAAAACTGCAAATGACTCGAAATGACTGTATTGTTCTTCGTTATTTAGTCGCTCACAACAATATGCTACCAATAGGTAGATCCTTCCTCCAGCCTGTCGCTTGCTATAGGCCAATAGGCCAATACACCTGGCCGAGTTTATTTTCCGTCTGTTTCACTTCTTGTTTCCAGTCTTCCAGTCACACACCGGCCCGGCTGGCGTCCGCCGCCGGCGCGCGTCTGTGTGTCTGCCCGGGTGTGAGAGTGTGTGAGTCTGCGGAACTGGACTCGATGCGCGTCACGTGATGTGAGGAAGGAAACGCTATCGGTACGGCCACACACACACACACACACATACAGGCAAAGTTAGATGCAATATGTGTCACGCTACGGACGATTAGTGTCACGCAGAGGGTCCGGCCCGACACCGACGCGACGCCGGGCGCGACGAACCTGCTTCGTTAGCGGCGTGACGTCACCGAGCCGCAGCTTCTTTCTATTTTTCTCCCATCTCTTCTCGGGGATTCCTTTTTATTTGTCACTCTTTGCTTTTGTTCCCACCGGCCGTCTGCGGCACTGCTTGGC